GAGTCAAGGATGGGATGGGGTGGATATGATAAATAGAAAAAAGAAATCGCCCATGCAGGCTGGGCAGGCCCTGTGTGGCACGGCAGAGATAGGGCATAGATATAATGTCCAAGAGTATGTACATGCTGCTGAGCCGACACTTTTCGCCCGCCTGTATCTGGGTATTTTGGCATTGGAACCGAAATATAACTGAAGTAAGTGCGACTGTATTAATCGGCCTGATTAGGACCTTGGAGCTTAATGGTCAGAAGACGATTAGATAAGCCGAACCTTAGAGGTGGACGAGAATAGCTTGTCCGGAATACAAGTACGGCACATACAAGCATGCATGGGCTCGCACGAGTGTAAGAGAGATGTGAAAACGGAGCAAGAAGAAAGAATAGGAATCCTCAACCAGAGTAAGGAGTTCTAAAGCGATAAAGAAAGGATCCTGAATAGGTTAAAAGTCAAGCTATAGAAAAATGTGCATGATAGCAGCTAGGCGGCGCGCAGAATCCAGATTTTATAATTAAATTTAAGGAAAGTGAGGATGAAGACATCAGAGGAAATGAAGGGAAACATGACAAAAGTTTGCTGCATACCCTTTGCTTGCTGGGTATGAATTGAGGCAGAACGGAATGGGACGGAACAAGCGTGGCAAAAAAAGAAATTAATGAAAGAAAAAAGGGAAAAATCATGGGTATCAACAAAAAAATTAGAAATATGGTATACAGGTGAACGTATGGTGTTGGCAAATTTATGAAAAACAGGCAGATAGATCCTTGTTTATATACCCGAACACTCGTGGACAGCCTATATAGAGCCATTGATGTGAATAAATAACAATAGTCAAAAATAGACTAATACAATTAGATAATGATCAATTGGTGGAAGGAATGAGAATATAAGGCAAATAATGGGTCATATTAACAGAGCCAGCAAAAAACTGATATTAACATGTGAGTTTAATGGTAACTCGAAAATAATGTAAAAAAATACAACTGGATGGATGAATGTGTAGATCGACATAAGTAAGCACACGCCGAGACATTTAAAGATAAAGGAAGAGAAATTGGGAGAGTAAGAGGGCAAGTAAGAAAGGAATAGCTAGAGTGATTCACAACGTTCATATTATCACAGTCAAGCAGGGGGGAATTATCGGAAAGCAAACTGGGTTTGAGGTGAGAATTATGAGGCAAAAATTGGGAAAACAAAAGAAACAGATGGCTCAACGCAAATCAAATCCACCGCCCCTTCTGATCATGGCCAACCCTTTAGTTTATAGTGTAGGTGAACAAAAGATGATGCGTATCTAAAGGGACATGATATTAAGTAAGACGCAAAATGTATATTAAACGCGTGTATATGTCTGAATGCATAGCGGTATACGATAAAATGTTTTATGTTGAGATGTAAGCCCCAGTAGATTGCTTTCAGAAGAGAGTACTTAATCATCAGTAAAGTGGGAAGTTGAGGCCTTATTTGTAATTATATCCGCACTTAAATCTTTCTATTTCGCCGTTGTGCTTGCGAAAAATATGGTCTGAATAATGCCATGGCATGTCAGCGATAATTTCTAAGTGAGGTTAGGTATAATAGGAGAAATCGACAGAGTAAAGAGTCTGGTATTATGTCAGACTAGCTGGTGAAACAAGCGTAAATAAGGGGCTAGCATTCACGAGGCTTGTGTATGGGACATCCCCAGAACTTTTTCGTGTGCATGTCAAAGTTTAAGTATGCATTTTTGTGTGAGTACGTGTGTGGATTCGGTGTTTGATTAAAGTGTATATAAGTGGTGCATGGGCTTTGTCATGTAATGAAACTCTAGCACGAAAACAAATTAATTTACTGGCGTGTCTATGATATTTCTCTGATAAGTGCCTCTCCCTCCAAAATGAGACTCCAAGTAATTTGAAGAGCCTCATTAAAAGCCAAGACTGTACTCAGCAAAGGATTGCTTTCACAGGAGAAGCGGTGACGATGCAGTTAAGGAGGATAGGAGAAAATAAAAAGTAGGCATTTGGAGGTTATATGAGAAAAAGGATAGATTAATGTTTTATTTCTTCTGCGAATAACGCGGATTGGTAGGTGCATCCACAAAGGAGCGCATCTCATAAGTGGCGACCCGTGGATCGAACTCAAATTTGTCGCGAGCGAAAATCAGCCGAATGTCAGTGTGCAGATAGAGTTTGCCCGAATTGCTGGTGTGAAGCCTGGGCAAAGAAGGGCACGATGAGAATGAGGAAAAACACAAGCCATATGAATATGAGAGCGCCAATTGGCCATACCGTAAATACTTACTCCAAGACAAGATAATTAACTGTCTCAAAAATTAATTTGAAAGGTATTTGAAAGGCGTCAAAATAAACACAATATAGCAGCACTCTTGCCAAATGATATAGGCAGAAAATAGATTAGAGAGCAAAAGTCTTCGTTTATTACAATGTAAAAGAAATTGGTACTTTAAGGAATAAACAAATCATCATATATAATGAAACGGCGTGACTCAATGAGGAATGTATTTTGAACTAATACCAAATTGTCTAGGCTGAATTTAAAGAAAGGAAAAAAGTTATATAGGCTACAGCATAATATCCAGTGCATAATATACTTTTATTATATTATATTATATTATATTATTCTACACAGTTGGGGGATAAATTAGTTTGTGCCATTAAAATAGTATGAGTGCAAGTAAATAATTTAAAATGCATCATAAAACTAAAATGTTCCATAAAAAGTAACCGGGTAAAATCATGTGTCGAAGTTGCTTGACAAAGTTTGTGCAACTTGGTTGTGCTGTTGTAGCGGTCTCGAAAACGTGCTTTAGAATGTTTCCTCTGTCAAGAATATGGTTTATTCATTCAGTAATGGACGGTTAACTGGCCGCTAAATACAGCGAAGCTTACAGAAGATACGGACCACGATGTCAGCGAAGCATCTTAGAAGATACCCAGGGAAAGATCCGTGCTGACAGCATTGGAAGAGAAAGCAGTTCAACTACCAGTCCTTCATCACCCTAAGGATGAATACAGCTTTTATAGAAGCACGGAGAGATTTCGAGATATGTCTTATGAAGCTAAGGACTGCCACAAAGCCCGGGCCCCCGAAGCCTCCCACATTATACAGATATGCATTTCACAATATAAC